CAATAAAGTTAAAGGCATGGCCTCACCTTTAATATTAAAAAAAAAAAAAAAATTTTAAATTAGTTAAAAATTTTTTAATTTTATATTATAATTATTAGCTAACTATTTAATTATAGTATTAATAAAGTACAAAATTATTTTTTACTATATTAAATATTCAATAAATATTTAGTGAACATTCGAATATTCATTTGAAATTTTTGAATAAATATTCAAATATTAAAAATATTGAACAAATGAATATTCGAATATGAAAATTTTGAACAAGTAAGACCTCTAATAAAATTATTAATTTATTGCTTATTGACATTAATTTGTTAGTCTGAATTTTTGTTTGTATTTTTTTAAGCTACATAAATTTTAGTGCTAAATATATTAGTTATGTGATGTTCAAAACTTTTTGAATGCCAATTTTACTCTGGTCTATAATTACTTAACCAGATCAGCCAAAAAATCATTCAACTAATTTTCACCAGATGTTTAGAAATTATCTGTATGCATATAGATATCAGATTTATTACTGATATTCAAATTAAAATATACTTACAGATGATAAATCCTCCTAATAAAAATTTGCAGATCATTATCTGAAAATTCGATAGTGGTCTGTAAACTGTAATGTAACTTGAAAAAGGATACTTATATGTTAGAATCTGAATATCAGCATAAAACTGATATTCAGATTCATAGATTGCTCACAGATAGTAGATTCATAATAAAAAATTTGCTAGATGATCATCTAAATGACATTCAAATGATTAGACAGTGGTCTGTTTACTGTAATCAGTTTTATGATTTGTTATGAGATCATTATGGGAAGTGATTTTAATATAGAATTTGAAATGATTTACATCATATGATAAAATTTTTTTTTATATAAAATTGACGAAATCACTAACTTTATAGCTATCTTGTATATGAATAAATATATTTTTATGCAAAGATCAAGTTAAAATCTCACAAAAATATACAAAAACTATCTATTAAAGGTTGTTAAATACTATTTATAACACCAAAACTAAAGAATCTTGCTCATAAAGTAGGGTATAAATTGACTTTTGTAATATATAATTTAACAGTTAAAATGTTGCTTTATGATAAACTTTTTAAAAACAAAAAAAACTATTTGTAATAGATTCGACTGTTTTAATGATGTATTTTATCAGAATTTCAAAGATAAGTTATTTATTGTTGTGTTCTATCTATGCATTATCATACATTGCATCTAAGCTAATCAAAATTTTTATATCTGTTAAAATAGAATTAAAATTCTCTGAAAAGCTTTCAAGTAATTATCTTAAGCTTATTGATAATAAAAAAAATTTTTTAATGTAGCTATTAAAAAGATATTCTGAGCATATTCGGTAGTTTTAAAAATACCAATTTTTATACTTTGTAATGAATTTACAACATTAATAAAGAAAGAGATAAGATTAAAACATTTAATTTAAAGAACATTTCTGTCCAATATTTAAAATTATTATTAAGTAGATTACTTTACGCTATATTAGAATTCATAATTTATAATACAAAAATCTACTAAGAAATAGTTTTGCAAAAAACGCTTCACTACATCTGATCCTGAAGATTGGACTCATGAAAACTTTTTAACTTTGAAGGCTATTTTACAAAATTGGTTACCTTATATCTGTTACTTTCAATGGTATTGTAGATAATATACAATGTTATCAACAAATTCTTGAAAACTTTGAAAGATATAATGAAATGTATATTGCAAACCAATCAATATTTTCTGCTGTTTTCTGCCTTGAATAATTATAGAGCTATTTTCAACAATTATTAATGAAGAACATGCAACAAAGTTTTTTCATAGGTTGATAAAAAAATTATGTGTACTTTAGGAACAGAAAATCTATATAAATTTAAATTACTTTATAGAAGCGGAGCTAGTTTTACTTCTAGTTTATTTTGGGAGTTGTAGTAATTGAACTAATCTTGTAATAAATTCTTGGAAAGTATAGCCCTTTGGTTGGAATTTTCAAGATTATAAAAAATTTAAGATTGTAAAGTGTTATTTTTTCACTGAAAAATAGTAATATCCAAAAGTTAATTTTAGATCATATAAGGAACCGAAGAATGCAATTTACAGTAATTATGAGTATGATTCAATTTTTGGATTTGGTTTAGTACTGATATCATATTTAAATTATTTCATGAATCAAAAATAACAGTTTTATTTATAATTTAAATTAAATATGTATATTAATATTAGAATTAAAATTCAATATTTTAGAGTCAAAATACGAAGTTATTTGCATCAGAACCTTTATTGCACAATGAAGTAAAACCATTCAACCTGCCTATTTAACATTATTATATAACTTTATAGAAATGCATGTTTGCAAAGTCATAAGTATTGAATAGACAGATTTGGATTATGCCATTCAACTTTCTTGAATTTTTATATTTGATTAGTGCATTTTGTTCGCAATTCATATTATTTGTTGTGATTTATATAGCAGTAATATAACCTACTTTTTTTTTAGCAATGCTAATCTAAGTTGAATTTAAAAACTTATAACCGACAAACGAATGAAGAATTGCTTACACTTAAATTGTGCCAAAATTTTGTCTTAATCATATTGGAAATTTAGGTAAAAGAAATTTATAGTTCTCACCAGATACTTATTCGTCTAAATTATTATGTAGAAAAATTTTTTTAGAAAATGTACTTCCTGATATCAATATGTATTGCTAATGTGCAATTGTTTTTTAATCCAAATAGCATGTTTGATCTGGTTAACAAGCACATTTACAGGTTGTCCAAGTAATTCTTAAGCAAGCTTTTGTGAAATTGAGTCAGATAAGTAAATTTGCAAAATCAGTTTTTAAAAATTACTTTTGCTTTGAATTACCTACTAACTTTATATATTTTTATTTAGAAAACTACGTTATGATATATATTTAATTTGAGAATTATAATTCAGAGAAACATAAAAGATATTTACTATTATTATCTTTCTTATTTATGGTTAGCTTATATTGTCATTACATATGTACTTCTAAATTATTTTATCATATTGTCTTTAAATCTGAGTTGTACTACTGGAGAAACCTATATATGACATGATTGACAGATTAGCACTATATTTCTTTTAGTATTTAATAGAATAATTATTAATTTTCTAATTTGGAGAAAGATGTAATAAATATTTTTAAGAGATGTGTTATTGAGAAAATGATATGATTTCAAATGCACCAATAGCGAGAAGGAAGAATAGTAAATTTATTAATTTTCTAATTTGAGGGCATTGTACGTAATAAATATTTTTTAGGATGTGTTATTAAGAAAATGATATGATTCCAAATGCACCAATAGTGGAAAGGAAGGTATAGTAAAATTATTTACAGGCTAAAATGGCATACTAGAAAATTGGAATTTTTTTAATAATGAGGTAGATTTGTAATGAAAGATAAACTTTTCCAAAGATGTGTAAATGGAAATTTATTTAATTGTATTTTTTTTTTTTGTTAGAATTTGGGGCTTTATATTAAACAATATATATGTATAAATGTTTAATAATTAAACCATCTTTAAAGCAAAATATATATTTTTTATTAATATATAAATGATTAAACAATAAATAAAAAATTTATATAAATAAGTCTTTTGTCTCAAAATTTATTGTAATTAAATTTTTATTAAAAAATGCTGCAATATTAAATTTTATAAAACTTTACAATTATAATTATGGAAAATATTGATTATAACAATTGTTTCGATCTCTATTTTAGCGATTCTGATATTGAATCTGCAGATGAAATAAAAAACTTTCCTATTCTTAACTTCAATGATAATACATACCAAAATGTTAAAAACCAAATATTACAGCTGAATAGTAATGATGATAAAGATTATGACCTTAATAATGAAATGGAAGAAAATATATTACTTGATGAGTTAGATGAAGGAATTGATGAAGTTTTATCAGATAATCCCATAAAGAATAATAAATACACCCCTTGTGTCATTATAGACAATGACAATGATGAACACATAATATGATGTTGTAACAGAACTAACACCAGTGGTCCTAACCAACCTCTTGTACAACTTAAAAGTACTTGGGAAGTTGATCATAATACTGTTGAGCAATATAATAGAAATTTAAATGAGCTTGATATCTGTTATCGACACTTCCTATATGATCAAAATTAGTTATATTATAAAAAACAAACACTAGGAACAGACCAAAATATTCTTTATTATATACAGTATATATTTTGTAATAAATATAAATGCTTTTTTATATGTAGCTATGGCTGTTCCGAGCATTCGTGGACAGTATGTGGATGAAACATTAGAGTTGCATGTTTAGGATTATAATCATATGAAGCATTACAACCCTATTATTCAGTTTCTGCATTATCAATAAATAATATACAACTTTTGTATATTTGTTCAGAATGTTTGAAACTAATGGTGGTTATCTACACAAAAGGTTAGATAAAGGATTTACAGAAGCAGACTGTAATAAAAAACATGATGATTTAACTAAAATTCTAGAAACATTTGAAAATTAGATTCAATTAGTAGCAAAATCAGATAATAAATTGCAAAAACAACAACTTATCTGGTTATTATTGCCAGTAATTAAATCATTAAAGCCATATTTGCTGTAAGATTTGCTTTATAAACCAATAAATGAAAATTCTTTAGAACAATTTATTATGCCAACTTTACTATTTATTCGAATAGCATTTAAATTAGCAAACATAGATTTAAGTATTAAAACAAAAGCAGTATCTTTAAAAGAAAGTGAATGTACTTACTTTGGAAATCTTCTTGGAGAATCTTTATAGAAATCACATACTTTACTTCAAAATAATTTGTTAATATTAGAAAATCTGCAATCCCTTACACAATATACTTCAGTATTGCCTCAAACTTTGTGGTCGTTTTTTAGTAGTCTTATCATAGTTTTTTTTATGAAAAAACATGAAATTGCTAGAAAAAAAAGAAAATCACGTGGATTATTGTCAATTCCATTAAATTTAATATTAATTAACAAAATTACAACATTCCTAGTATTAATTGTAATAGGAATTGCTTTTCGTTGCTGAAAGATTTAGTTATCTCATGTCTTGGGCTTGCTTTGTAGATGTTTACATATGATTTCAAAGCTTCATAAAATTCTTTATTTTGCACATATAATTTTTTATTCTTGGGATCATGAAGTTCATACAGAAAGATGGTGCATGAAATGTGCTAATCCTGCTAACAGACTTGAAAGTGCAAATAATATTTATAATTTGTCAGTTATTGATAATATCGATATAAAAGAAAAAACATTTGCATATAGAAATATTTATGATATTGCACGATGTACCACTCATGCCACTCTACGAATGACATTTCAGTTTAGACTTCCTTCAAATTTGCCTGATACTTCAATATTTTTTTCTAAACAGTCAAGCCAAGTTGCAATCGGATTATCAACAATCACAGAAAATTTAAATAAAAATTATAATCGAATTTTTAAGAAATTGCTTTTAGAAAAAAAAAAAAATTTCGATATTAGTAATATTCATCTAAAGGTTATTGAAACTGTTCAAATAGGATGCAATTTTGATAAACCAAAAATAGTAATTCTAAAACCTGGTCCAGCACCAAATTCTAATAAAAACATATATGAGGTATGTGATATGTTTTTAGATGATGTAGCAAGTACAAGAGTTACTATGATCGATATCACATATGATGAAGCTATTTTTTAAAGACTTAAAAATTATGAAAATAAAGATCTTACCATTAATATTATTCTTGGATAGTGGCACACTTCAAAAGACATGTGCCAAACCTTAATTACAGCCTTTCTGGTTACAGAATTTTTAATATGGCATCACAACTTGGTGTTCAATATTTGGAAAATTTAGAGAAAGGTTCAGATTATTGTGCAACATGTACAGTTCTTGAACTAATCTGGGCAGCAGTTGGAATTGCAATTCATCATCATCTACATAATACAAATCAAACTATTAATAATATTAAAAATAGTTCTAATAATATTTTGAAAGTTTGGTTAAACTATTATCAGTAGGCTGGTTATTGGAAAGCATATAAAATTGGAATTCGATATGAAAATTTCAATTTGCAAATTGCATGTCTTGCTGCATTTGCACCACTTTTTTCAGTTACTGGAAAGTTTAGATATGTAGAATCAGTTGCTATTTTTCTAGGAAAATTATATAATAATCCTCAACTTCAAAAAAGATTGTATCTAGTACCATCTATTAATATTACATGTGAAGGATATTATCTGGCATATGATGAAGCATTAGAAACATAGGGTGTTAAATGTGTTAAACAGATAATGACAGGAAATTTGGAGATAAGAAAAACTTATATCAACAAATACAAAGAAGTCAAGATAAAATTGAACGACTATTGATTCTTGATAAATTTATTGATCAAATAATAAATATTGATGACTATGTGACACCAGATCAACATGAACAGCTATGGACTTTAAGTGAACAAATATATAATACATTTCAAGATCCAGATCCTAATAATCATTCTCTTTTTGAATATACAACTCAAAATACTACAGAAGGTTACTTCAAGATAGAAACTTGTTATCAACATAGAGTAGAATATATGCAAAACCTTCTTGCCGAAGAAGTTTATTTAACTAAAAAAAAAAATCCAAAGAAAGAGCAACTAAATACTTGAATAAAAATACTGTAGCAGCCTTAAAACAATGTAAAAACAAAAGATGAAAAAATACTCAAAATGAAGATAATACTCAAAGTGAAAACTAATAAATAGAATAACTTATATTGGATATAATCATATTTAGTATTTCATAGTCCAATTTTATCTAAAAAAAAAATTATATATATATTAGTTCATCTAAAATACAAAAACCTTTACTATTTTATACTTATCTTTTGAACTACCATAAAGCATTGCATTCAATACCCTTCTAGAATAATACCCAGTATATTTCAATACCATTGTAAGAAAATTTTGATTATATCCAGATCAGTGCACAAAATTTCGGCATGTTATAACATGCTTATTTTTTCGGTAAACAAAATTTAGAAACTCCTGCAATATATTTTATATTATAAAATTTCCAGCTGCTTTAAAACTACACCAGAAGTCAACTTAATCAAATAGAACTTCTGGTATTTTACAATAGAATTTTGTGCATTGATTCAGATACAGATTAGGCTTGCAAGACCAGTAATATTCAATAAGTACAACCTTATATCTAAAGATTAGTTTGAATACCCCTAAATTGTACCCTTTAGGTATATCCTGAGTACTAAACGTAGTGCTCTATGACAATAATATAATTTAACTATCATGAAAACCTAAATAAATAAAAACTTAGTAGTAAAATTGCTTCAAAAAGATTTTTTTTTTACAAGTTAATGAGCAATCTATATACTATAAAACTGTTTTTTTTAATTTTCATAGTAATATTTATAATATACTGGCCTTTCGTGCATGCATTTTATTGAAAGATCTTGTGTTGGCATGTCTAATAAACTATTTTTTATACTAAAATGTTGCAGGCTTGAGAAGAATCTTTTCAAAAGTATGTAAAATAATTGCCTACTTTTACAAGCATTATACTTTAAATAAAGAAGATTATTTGTTATATTTTTTATATTATTCGATCCATAAAATCTTCAATAACAAACTTGTCTAAAAGTGTTTTGCATACTTTTAACTATAAATTTAAAAAAAATTCAAGATTATGAATTCATCGATTTGTGTAATTTATAAAAATCATATGATAAAAATCATGATATGACAAATCATAAGACTGTAATATAATGCTATAATCTGATTTTTATACATCTGAATATCAAGATGATATTTATATTTAGATACTACATTTGCTCACAATTAGTGGATCCATGTAATAAAAAATTTTCTAGATGATCTTCCTGACTGTAATATAGTGTTGAGATCCATATGGATAATATCTGGATATCCCAAAAGATACTGATATTCAGGTTATTAATTTGCTCATAGATGGTAGATCTACATAATAAAACATTTGCTGGATGGTCATCCAGATGACATCTAGATAATTAGAAAAAGATCTGTTTACTGTAATGTAATGCTTAAATCTGATTTTTATATATCTGAATATCACAGATAGTATAGATATTTGAATGCCATATTTGCTCACAGTTGATGATTCCATATAATAAAAAATTTTCTAGATGATTATTCTGACTGTAATGTAGTGTTGTGATCTCTATGAATAATATCTGGATATCCCTATTCATACCAATATTCATGTTAGCAATTTGCTCATAGATGATAGATCTACATAATAAAACATTTTCTAGATAGACATCTGAATGTTATCTGGATGATAAATAAAGGACTGTTTATTGTAATTTAGTGTTAATCTGTTTGATTACTTATTTGAACTTCAGTATTTTACCAATATTCAGATTCTCATTTGCTCTCAATTGTGGATCCGCAAAATAAAAAATTTTCTTGATAGACATCTGTATATTTATATAGAGAACAGTTACTATAATCTAATCTGGATATCGGCTGTTTTTATGGATATTCAGTTACTTCTTATATAGATATCAGTTTACTTTAATATGTTGGAACCTTTTGCATTAATCTAGATATCCACATATCTTACTGATATTCAGATTCAATATTTTGCTTACGAATGATAGATTTACATAATAAAAAATTTGCTAGAAGTTATCTAGATAACATCTGGATAATTATATAGAGGTATGTTTAATGTAATATATTGGGATCCATATCTGGTTCTCTGATTTGAATATATAGATTTACATATAAATATTTTTGCTTGTTGGTCATTTGGATGTCATTTTGCTGATTGTATAATGATTAGTTTATTTTATTGTAGTGTTAGAATCTGTTTTTTTTATTCATCTGAATATCTACAGTAGGTATAGATATCAGGTTTCCTTATTTGCTCATATAATAAAAACTTTGCTAGTTATCCAGATGTCATCCAGATGATTAATAGATGTCTGTTTACTGTAATAAAAATAAAATTATATTTTTAATTGGCTTATATATGAATATCTGTAAATTTTGTTGTCTTGAAAATCACATGACATTTCTGATCGAAATAATTGAGTCTATACTGATGCATGTTTATGTGTAAATTAAATAAACTATTGGATTAA